TTTTTTTGTTTTAGTATTTTGAAGTTGACCAATTGTTACTATAAGCAATTAATGATTATAGATGATCTGCACCGTATCTGTTGTTGTAATAACATTGTTGAGAGAAAAAACCAGCTTCTTAATGTTTACCTTTTCGAATGTTTTTTTTTTAAGAGGGCTGAGTGAAACAGATTCTCGACATGCAACACATTTTGGCTCAAAGAGCCCACTGTTAAACCTTTCCTGTAACAGTCCATAAATTTTGCAGCCATTCTTGCATATTTTCTAATTTGTTTCAATGGTATAGAATCAAAGGCTCCGGGAACATTCTCTTGAAGACCTTTCCATGTGTAATTACAATGTTGCCTAACATACTGTTTAGCCCAAACACTGATGGCAGTTAGTAGCAACTAGTTGAGGAAAGCCTGTACTCGCGCCCCCAATACATTTCAATTTAGTTAAGCTCACAATGAATTTTGGATAGAAGATGATCTTATGACTCCTTGCTTCAATTAATTCTTGAAATAAGGGTTTTTTGCTTTTAAAATCATCTTGGGTTGCTAAGATATGTCTAGCACAACAAGTCAAAGGTCCTTCAAAAGAAACTTGTAAGAAAATAATAACAAAAGATGATTATTTTCATATTTTGATAATTGTAATATAATTATATTATAATAAGCAGTGTCTGAAATTGAGTGCGGGAGTTTGTGTTACATATTGAATTTAGCCAATCAAATTTGTCCTTCTGGTAGAAAATTTAACGTTGATTGGCTAAATTCAATATGTAACACAAACCCCGCACTCAATTTCAGACACTGATAATAAGCTATAATTTACATGATTTTAAATTTACATGATTTTTGTAGGTCACATGTTGTGACCAAAATTAGAAATTTTGCCCTGTATATACACTGCCTGGAAGAAAGTATCCGAACCTTGTTTTTTATTAATTCCACAAACTTTTACAGTTTACTCTCTCTATAACGGATCTTTCTATAACGGATTTTTCTCTATAATTGACAAAAAATTCTGGCCCAATTTTTTACTATTTAAAACCTCTTTCTATAACGGATTTTATTAGTTAAATTTTATATAATGTATAACGGACAGCACCCCGAAAACATTCTATATAAATCCCTCTCTCTATACCGGATTCACGTGATTTCAAAACTAAAATGCAGATCTTAAATCATATAGTCATTATTAGATCACTATACAAATGTCAAATAATCTCTTAATTGTTAATTAATAAAGAAATCAAAAATTGATGATGTTATTGCCAAGCTAAAATAATGTCAATATTATTTTAATAAAGAAAACAATGTTAATATTATTTTACGTGTAAATAAACGTCGCGAAATTAAGCAATTTTTTTTAATTTTTAAATTTTTCATTAATCAAACTTAATTCATATCAAATTGATTCATTTATTATCTATTCTGTTTTATTATTTATTTAAAATGTCATTAAATAAGAGAAAATCTTTAACAGCTTTGATAAAAAGAGATATTTGTTTGGCAAAACAAAAAACTCCAATCCCAACAAATAGAGAATTAGCAACAGCTTTTGATATTAGTACAAGTACAATTAGTGATATTTTAAATGAAAAAGATAGGTGGCTTTCCATTAATCCAGAATCCTCTGATGCTACCAAGAAAAAAAGGAGAAGCTTGGTATACGAAGAAGTCGATCAAGCATTAACTATTTGGACAGAGAAAGCTATTGGTGCAGAGTTAGACATTACTGGTGATATATTGAAAGAAAAAGCAATACACTTTGCCCAACTTCTTGATATTAATGACTTCAAAGCATCAGAAGGATGGTTAACAAAATTCAAGCAAAGACATAATATCAAACAGTATACAAAACAAGGTGAAGCTGCCAGTACTCCTATTTCGGAATTACCTATTTTATAGAGAATAATTAAAGAATTCTATTACAAATCAATATCAATTATCAGATATTTTTAATGCAGATGAGACTGGGTTATTTTGGAAACTGGAACCATCAAAAGTATTATCAACAGGACCTGTATCTGGAAGAAAGAAGTCAAAGGAAAGAGTTACAGTATTATTAACATGTAATGCTAGTGGAACAGAAAAATTGAAGCCATTATTTATACACAAATATAAAACGCCTAAAGCTTTAAAAAATATTGACAAAGAAGCATTGTCAGTAAATTATTACTGGAATCTCAAAGCATGGATGCAAGTCTCCATTTTTAATGATTATTTAGTCAATTTAAACAGATATATGCAACAACAAAATAGAAATATTTTGTTATTATTAGACAATGCTCCCACACATTCTGTTAATGAGACAACAAATTTAACAAATGTTAAAATTCATTTTTTGCCTCCAAATACTACTGCATTTTTACAACCATGTGATGCTGGTATAATCAATAGCTTCAAGGTAAATAAATTATTAATATTAATATTAATTTTCTTTTTTAAAAAAATTCTTAACATAATTTCAATATCATATTTTACAGGCAAATTATAAAAAACTTTTTTTGAGAAAAAAACTAAAAAATTATGAAATACAAAAAAGAGGCGGAGAACCTGATCCAATTACAATAAAGCATGCAATTAAATATACTACAAAGGCATGGGAAAATGTTACCAGTCAAACAATAATTAATTGCTGGAAAAAGACTGCAATTTTACCTGATGTGGATGAAAATTCTATTGAAATTCAAAATGCTACATCATTCCTAGATTCTTCAAAAAATAATGATGAAAATGATTTACAAAGTTTAATTAATGAACTTGATTTTGCAAATCCTTTATCTGGGACAGAATATCTTTCCATTGATGAAGTAGAAAGAAATGACAATGACAATTATGAGGGTTTGCCAAATGATGAAGAAATAATTTCTATGCTAAAGCTTAATGAAGAAAAAGATGAAGAAGATGATGATAATATTGAAGAAATTCCTCTTGTTTCAAGTCAAGATGCTTTATTGGCCATTGAAAATGTAAATTTATTTGTTGAACAGCAATTTAAGGAATTTACAAATGAAGAATTGAAATTGTTAAAAACCATTAAAAAGAAAATCAAAAAAGTAGAATTTAATTCAAAAAAACAATCTACATTAGATAGTTTTTTGAACATTAATATTGAATAATTATTTTTTTATAATCATAATGATAATCATAATAAATTTTTTTTTATTAGTTAACTTAATCATGTGACGATCAACAAAATTCTCTATATTCTCTCTATAACGGATCTTTTTTCCCCAGACAAATGATCCGTTATAGAGAGAGTGAACTGTATTCTGTTTTTTATTTCAGATAAATTTTTTTTTAAATACTAATTGACTATTGATATAATTCTTGCCTGAATAATTAGTTGTTTTTTGTTAATTCATAATTTACCTCATTAAATTAACGTAAAATTTTGTTTTTCCTAATTTTCATTGAAACCTGCAATTTATTTTTGAAATTTTTATTTTAACGTTCATATACATTTGTTAAATTATTATCTAATTTTTGACACTTATTATTCAATCGATAGAAATTTTTAGCTCTGAATATTCATCATCAGGATTTTTTTGGTTAGCATTGCCAATCAATAGTCACAAGTTTATAGTTTTATAAAAAGTACGAGAAGTATAACATTTTATCCTATATATTTCCTCAAATAAAAAAATTTCATGAATGTTTTCTTAGAATAAACTTATTCAATCAATATCCAGGCAAAGAAAAAGGTATATTTGAAAAAAAGAAGAAAGCAATTAAACCAGTACTTGATTTAAAATCGTTCTTGATTAAATTACAACATGTAACATCAAGATTCGTACGTAGGGTCAAAGGATTTTTCTTCTAAATCAATTTTTCGTTTCATCACTACATTAACATTAATCTCATACTTAACACTTCTTCTACATGCTACTCCCAAAAGATTTCTGAGATAATCCGTAACACTATTAATATATTTATTTACGTAGTCGGTCTTCAATGATAATGTTACGATCTACAAAAAAAATCTGAATAATTTAATAAACTCTAATTAATATTAATGAATGAATATAATTTGTTGTATCAACAAACTTATCATATGGCATCATTCATTGATGGTGATTCTTTAGAAGTAAAAATTTGATTTTAATAAAAGTAAAGCTTTATTGTGCGCAACGATGTCATTTTACATGTGCAAAAAAATAATTTTTCAGACACTTCACGTAAAACCAACATAGATAAAAAACAACAAATATTCTATAGCTTATATTAATAAAATGAAAATATACTTTTTTTTTTGGTTATAACAAACATACATATTAAAAAAAAAGTATTGAAAGGAGTGAGAAAAATAATAATAATAATAAAAAGAGAGAGGGAGAAGGTATTGTAACGTAATGTATTACACCTTCAAATAATTTATCTACTGGAAAAAAAAAAGAAAAAAAGAAAAACAGATAAGGGGAAAATTGATATTATTGTTCATAGCATAATTTATATTATGTATTTATATTTATAATTATATTTATATATATATATGTGTGTATGTGTGTGTGTAAAAAATTACATTAAATGTTATTTTTATTAATTATTATTATTAAATTTTTTTGTTGGGTGGTTTTTGTTTGATTAAATGTTGATCTGCATTGGGATTGGTGTCGTCTACATCTAAAGACAAACCATAACTATTATTATTATTATTACTCGTAAAAGTGTTTGATTTTTATCGCCTAATGCTTACTTTACGCTTACTTTTTTAATACCATTGTCCGTTTCCACCAGTTGGATCATCTTTTCTACCACCTTTATACGAACTTAAATAATTTACTGCCGCTGGATTATTTTTAGTTTGACTACGAAGTCTAAAAAATTATTATTATATTAATTAAAAAAAAAAATAAAGCATAAAAAGTAGATTTAAATATAAATATACAATACGTAAATAACTTACAGTCTATCTGAAGTTACAACTCTATTATTATTATCTGTAACGGGTGCAGCACTATCTTTATTACGCCTAGGAACTGATGTTAACCGTGATGAGCCACTTGCAATGGGTTGTGGTGTGGTAGATGTAGCAGCTCTTGTAGAACTGATACCAGTTCCATAAATTGGTTTATTTGTTGGACGGCGAGGTGTTGAAGGATCGTTAGCAAAATTTGAGGCAGTGACTGCCTGTCTATTATTAACAGCACGTTTTTGATTCTTGATATCTTCATC